GAAGAAGAACATAAATAATAAATAAATACGTTAATAGAAAGGGAAAGAAAGGGAAAAAATTACATGAATCTAATCTCAGTCTCTCGTAAAGGAAGAAATTGACGTGGGTCAAAGGTGTTATTGAATAATAAACGTTGACATTCAATCTGTTCGCGCCTAGTATTGGGATCATTGCGGAAAAATGCCTTATCATCGCGAATAGTTTTCAAAAGATCCCGCAAGAAACTACGATCAACCTGCTCGTAGTTAACGTTAACAGCCGCGTGGAAGTTTGTTAAGTCATTAAAAATCTCGATGATATCCCGTGGAGAGTAAGAATCCTCGGTCAAGATATAAATCTTTTGCTCGTCCTCTCGACTGAGTTGTGGAAGCAATCGTCCGCTTTCGTCAAAAGTTAACGCGTGAAGAGTTTCGATCACATTTTGGAGATTAATGAGAGAAAACTCGTCTGTTTCTTCGTTAAGAGTCAACGGGAGTGTATTTTCTTCCCTTATGATATCGCTAAAAAGGAAAAAGAATTGTTGAACGAATGGGAGTCTATCACATGTTATTTGTTTATAATAAAAATAGAAGGGAAATTAATCAGTTTACGAGATGACTAAAATGTTTTTGCGTAAAGGAAATTATTCTATTTCACCTGAGAAAGACGACACTCTCAAATTCGTTCCTCCAAATTTTTTCGATCTGTCGGAATTCTTCGTGTGTTTGGGTGCGACCTTCGTCGGCACCTTGGATCGAGACTACTATGACACTTTTGATATCTTGATGTCTTGCAGCCTATTTATAAAATAAGTACACTTATTGTCAATCTTTAAACCGCCAATACTCTAATGTCTCTTTACCTTGGCCAACACTTCGGCATCTCGGACACGACCGGTATTACTTTCTGGGACCACGACTAAGAAATCTACACCAAACAGAGCTCTTTGAAGAGATTCTCGATCTTCAAAATCGGTTCTTTTGATATTAACACCAAAAATCGCTAATTCGTCAAGGTTTGGGTCGTCAGGAACCGACGAGAGTGCAACAATATTAACATTGTGAAAATGGTTATTACGGGTACTCGCACGATCAATTTGTTGCAAAAAACCCCGAGCGATGGAATTGCCAAGAAAACGGTCTGTAGCAGTGAATGCGATTGTGTTTTGTTTGTTAAAGTTATTATTGCTTACATGGAAGCTTTGGTGCTTTTTCTTGATAATTCCATGAATAGACATTTTGGCTTTTTTTTTAAAAGGGGAAATTTTTACAAGGAATCTGTTCACCTTTCTGAAGAAATTTTTACAGAAAGAAACAACGGCGAGGTTTATAACTTTTTGCACTGTACATACATTTTAGCCTAATAATATCTAGCAGTCGCTTTATTTTTTTCACAGGAAAAAAAGACACATGAAAAGAAAAATAAAAAATTGCGCAGTCACTTTGACTTTTCCGCCATTGTTCTCGCTATCTTTGAATCTTTCCTTTATTACATTAGGATTATTCCCATGATAAAAAAAACTTTACTTACATGTGAAACTGAAAGGTAAAAATCATGAGTGTTATTATCGACACATGTCTTTTTTTACAAGCGAACCAGTAACGCAAAAAAATTTGACCAGTTCACATCTTAGTTTATTTAGACTACGTACTGTACATGCATGTACTAATGGTCAATTGATATTTTCATTTTATTGACATCGGATTTAGAATTAAATTGGAAAACAACTGTTTATTGTATTTGGTAAATTTTTTGTACTTTATTATTGGACACGATTCATATGAGCAAAGACGAGCTAAAGAGAGAAGACATATTCGAGAAGAGGATAGATGTCTAAATTAAAGAATGAATAGAGTGAATTCTAAAATTTATTCTTCAAAAAAGGAACTTTCAAAGCAAGCAAGCAAACGGAAAGTCTAATTTTATAAATGAATAAATCTCTAAATAAATGAGTCTAAATATTGTTTATGCTTAATTACTCATCTAGAGTGAATTGCTTTTCACTTTAAGTACTTTGTAAATTATGATGTAAAAATAACAATGAGAAAGATTTTAGGAACAATTGCACTTATCATGTGTACCATCTAGGTATGAAACTATGATGTATTTAATATTATCTCGGCAATGGGTCGAAACTAAGGTTTGATAATAAGTTTGTTTACTTGAATATGTTTGAGATGCGCTATAAGATTCCTTTTTGGATACATAATAATATTTAAACCCCTGACTATCAACTGACACACGAGTTTCATCAGAACTAGCAGAGGTTTTAGAAGTATAATGGCTACTTGACGTCGAACCAGAAATGATATTGCCTGACGTTGAACCAGAACCAATGCCTGATGTTGGACCAGAACCAATGCTTGACGTTGAATCAGAATCAGAACTAATGTCTGATGTTGAACCAGAACCAATGCCTGATGTTGAACCAGAACCAATGCTTGACGTTGAATCAGAATCAGAACTAATGTCTGATGTTGAACCAGAACCAATGCTTGACGTTGAATCAGAACCAGAACTAATGTCTGATATTGAACCAGAACCAAAATCAGTGCCATATGGGTCATTGGGATTGGGATTGGGATTTGGTTCAACTCTTTGTGGTGTAGAGTGATAAATAACGCGATCATTGCTGTTTCCGTTGCTATTGCCGTTCATGCTACCATGGTTATAGTTGCCATTCAAATTGCCGTTGTGACTACCTCTGTTGTCGTTTCCGTTAGAATTGCCGTTGAAATCACCATTGTTACCGTTTCCGTTCTCATTGCCGTTATGGCTTCCACCGTAATTGACTGGCAGGCTATTACCACCATCACAGGTATTACAATCACAGGTAGCACAGATTGGTGTTGCTGATATGATATTTGAGCCGCTCATAAAGATGGAAATAGCTGAAGCGAGATAACAAGTAACAATCAAGAAAAGTTTCTTTGCCATGATTTACTAATAAAGTGAATAAGATTGAGTGGAAGATAGATTTCCGTTTGCTTGCTGCGAAAAGAGTGAAAAAATTAGAAGATATGAAAGATTCCTTTTTAGAATGAATCAATGAATGAATGAATGAATGGATGGATGTTATAGGATGGATGCTTTTTAGACGAAAGAGTGTGATATTTTTCTTTCGCCTTTGATGACAGATCTTTATATAAAGAAAAATTCTAACCTTTTGTATTCAAAATGACGTTTTTATTTTAAGCGTTTTTATTTACTTTATCCACATTATGACTGGCCTTTCCATTGTCCTCAAATGAAGACAACAATGTATCAATCCTTTAGGGAAAAATTAAATTATTTTTTATAAGATATAAATAATTTTTCTGTGTTAATTCTCGCATTGTTTTATCTGTCTTTGTTGTACACGAATATATCGAAACAATCACGGTAATAATAATTATTTAAAGCTGAAATCAATAATCCAATTTTAAGACTAAAACATTTTTACGATTTACAGAGTTCCATTGAATTTTAAGGGAACCCAGGTAGATTCATAATAAATCTGATTTTTTTAGTGATATCTTGATTAATTATTATTTTTATTTCCTATGGAATCTAATCTTCAATTTACGGGATCTATAGATTTGACGATAAAGATTCTTTAGAAAAAATTATGAGAAATACGATAAGGGTGCTGACATATACATGTATTAGCGTTAGCTAATATTATTTTGATAGAGGTAAGATCTTTTAGCCAATCAAAATGCTTAATTTGTACTACTTAAGAGCAAGCTTTACCCCTAAAATATTAGTTAATAATGTCACTGCCCGAAGTTTACGCTCACACTTTAATTTATGACTAATCACCATTTTTTAATAGTGAGATAGATTATGTGTAGTCTAAAAATCAATGTTGTATGGATTGTGTTATCAAATTTCCTATTATTCAAATCATCAAACACGCGAGATATTTCAAAATGCTCAATTTATTAATAGTGTCAAGCATCACATCACTAGTCAGTCGATATATGCCAAGATGATTGCAGCTTTATTGCTTTTAAAATCGTAAAATGACGGTGTTTAGGCTTTCTTCCGGTGTGAGACATACTTTCATAAAGGATATATCATAAGAGACACGAGAAAAGATAGTAGAGATGGGTAACAAAACCAAGCAAAAAGCATTACGCTGCTTGTGAATTTAGTATAGCAGATCAGCTGACCAAACGAACCACAGGTCGAACAGAGGGATTCGCTAGTAGTTCTGGATATCAGGTTCCCTAATGGTTTTGTGAACATTACAAAAGGGTTCCTCTTAAGTTGGTAGATATAGAAACCACTAGGTAGAATTCCAGATTTCCTTACAAATACATGCATGAAGCTAAAAATTATTAACATCTAATATATAGAACAATTTCAACAAATTTTTAAGGAGTTTAACTTGAGATATATAGATATTGAGAACCAGTAAGAATCATAATATCTTAAAAAAAGTAAAATGAAAGAGCAACTAAAGATTGATAACAAATTGTATTGTATACTCCGAATTTAAGCAAGCCCCTACATCATCATTTTTGAGGCCAAAAATTTTAAATTCGGGTAGTTCAGAAATATCTTAAAAAATACTGGGTAGAGGTTGAATAAATAATGATCAAGAGTATATGCGTATGTGTACGATTGTGAAATGAACAAAAAATGTGCAGAAACAAATAGAGTAAAAGAAATTGATAAATAGTTAATGAAGATAAAGTTCTGCTAATAAGTTAGAATATAATAAAAATTAATAAAATCATTTTATCTATTAATAATAATCTTAACAAAGAGATTGTTTATTCAACTTTTTCAAGACTTTTTGACCTGAAGAGAGAGGAGTTGCATATTTTTGGGAGTTGCTTAAATTCAGGAGTATATAATAAATAAGTCAATAGAAAGAACACATAATTTGTATTGGAAAGTTAAGGAGAAAAAGATCCTGAACAAATAGTCTTTTTTATTGAAAAATAGTTTGAATTCTATTTTTAACTAATACTTAAAATTTTTTAAGTTTTTTAATTATAAATAATTTTTTTATTATTTTTTTATAATTAATTTAATTTTTATATTTATTAAAATATAGTATTATAAGAACTAATAATTTTTTTAATTATAAAAAAATTAATATTTATACAATAAATATAATAATTTATTTTTCTATTTATAAAGAAATATAATTTATAATATTAAATATCACTTATAGTAATATAAATTTATTGTTAAAAAATATCAAAATCCTATTTAAAAAATAAACTAATTACTAAAAATCTTTGATTCTTTATTAAATTTATTTGGATGAATTTAAGCAAATTAAATTCTTTGTATTTTCAGAATTACAACTTTTTAAATAACTAATTTAGTATTCACTTCAGAAAATTAATTTGTAATTTTAACACCAGATTTTTTCTAAAGTAAAATCAGTTATATTATTTCATATCAGATTATATAACTTATTATTTTTTTAATTAAATCATATTTTCTTGTAGTTAATTTTTTTAGTTTATTATAAAATAATTTTAGTAAATTTATAAAAGTAATTTAAATAAGAAAAAAATATTCACATATCCAAAATATCTATTTTTTTTGTATTTTTTATATAATTGCATAGCAGATGATATTTAAAATAAGACAAATAATGAAAATATTATGAATTATTTTTTTATAATTTATATTTATTCTTTTATAAATAGCTAAAATTAACTTGTTATATATTGTTACAAGTTTGTTTACTAATCGTTAAATTAGCTTA